TTTCTGAGCACTCAAACTATATTGTTTGTCCATAAATCCAACTGCATGAGATAGAGTTTGTTATCCTTTTTGTTTGAATTAGGTTCAGCAAACTTCATTCTTCTCAGGAGCAACTAGCTGCATGATCACATGGGTCCCTAGATTGTTAGTGCGTGCTAGCCCTTCATTTCACAGGCTGAACTTGTTCAAAGCAAGCTCCTAGCAGTTGTGACAGGAGCCACGTTTCCAATCCTGCCATGCTTATTCACTTCATCTCACAGTTGTGCCTCCTCTCTTAAGAAAATTGTATTGTCAGAAACTTTTACATGATAAAAATACATTCACTTAAAATTGATTTTAAAAAATGACAGCAAGAATTTTTTTAAAAATGTACCTTTTCTGCTTGTAGACAGACATGGGTACCAAAATTATTAAATACAACTAGACAGATCCTTTTTCCTTTGTCCAATACACTGCTATTTCAGTTGTAAATTTTAAGTTAAAAAATCACCTGAGGATGTCACTTTGATGAATGCTTTCCTTGATTATCATCAAATTCCACAAATCCTCTTGAAAAAAACAAAAAGAGAAAATAAGAATTATGATTCAGACTGAACAGGAGTGTTAGAATGATCACTAAGGTGTTGTATGACGTTTGAACCATACTGTTCTTCTCTAGATTTTTCTATGTCAGAAAGAAATAAGACCTACAATTTCCATAAAAGTTCATAGTAGACAAGCAATTCATGCATAATTATCTTTTTGCATCTGCCAACAAACCCATTCATTAGGTATCTATTCACACATAAACTCCATAAAGGCATATATTTTTGCATTTTTTTTTTGGTAATATATTCCCAGGGCCTAGAACAGTGCATGGCAAATAGTAGAAATTAATAAATATTTGTTGAATGCATTTTTATTATCTCCTTTTATGTGTGAGAAAACCTTTGAAGCTCAAAGATTAAACAATCTGTCCAAAGCACATTGCTGGTACATTCCAAAGAAAAGTTAAAAGCTTGGCTCTCCAGAGTAATTACTAAATGCTAGAAACACTATGCACTATGGCTCAAGGACTGGGTAGCAGGGTATCTGCTGAGATGGTAAAAGAGAACCAAAATATCGTTTGTGAATCATAGTCTAGTGGAGAAAACAGACACCTCAGATACAAGAAATTTAAAACAATGTGGGGGATAAAAGTTGTTATGAAGATGTCTGCAAAACATTATGAAATACCTGAATATGAAAAATGGAAATTACTAATAGTAAGTATCTATGACTTTTTTTGAGTTTGTTTTTGAATTGGGCTTTAGAAAATGATTAGACTTGCCAAGTGAACAGAGTGGGGTTTTGGCTTGGGTGCTAGGCATTTTCAGCAGAGGGAAAAATCACATGCACAGATATTGGGGGGTTATACAAACATGATCTCTTCTGAGATGAAACTCATTTGTCATTGGGGCTTCAGGTTGCAGGGGTAAGGAATGTGACTGAAAGATACATTGGCATCAGAGAAGGACCTTTGACATTAGCCTAATGCATTCGCTTGGGTTTTGGAGGCCATGGAAATTCATGAAAAACTTTCAAGACTGGCAATGATATGACCAAATTTACATTTTTTTGATATAAAGTTTTGGTAGTAGGTAGAAGATGAATTGGTGAGACGGAAAGAAAGTGGAACTTATTAGAAATTCAATAAAAAGAGAGACAGAAAAAAGTGCAACTTATTCAAAATCCAATAAAAATAACTTGGGAAGAGATGATGAAGGACTCAACTTGACCAGCTAGTCAAGCTGAGGAAGAGAAATGTACATAGGGTACATATACAGATACCTGAGGAAGGTATATAGGGTAGAGTATTCAGCAATTCAATGAAGGTGATGATGAGCAGGACAGATTTTAAAAGATCCTTAGGTTTTTGGATTTTGTGTGGTTGATGATGTGAATTAGATATGGAGGACGGTTTTGAGTGAGATGATGGACTTGGGTTTAGACCAGTCGAATTTGAAATATTGGTAGGAAAACGATGAAGATTCATTGCAAGCAATCAGTTATTTCATTTGATGGTCAGGAACAAATTGCAACAGGAATGTGAATTTGAAACTCATTCGATTATAGGCAGTCCTCTCAATGCGTAAGCTGCAATGTGGAAAACCAAGCACATTTGGAATCCTGAGGAACAATGACATTGGGAGGGCAGGTGCATGAAGAAAATTCAAATGAAAAGAATGAGAAAGAATGGCTAGCAGTAGAGACAGAACCAGGGAAATATGTCATGGAACCAAGACGGGAAAATATTCCCAAGAATTAAGGGCTCTCAAAGGGTGAGAGGAGTTAATAATATATATATTTTCCAGAAAAATGATGAGCCAAATGCAGTTGCTGTAGCTCCAAGATAATCCAAAAGCAAGTGGAGAGAACAATCTGGTCTATTCACTGTCCCAAAAACATGTCTCTAGTATTTATTATGCATCTGACACACCACTTAGGCATCAGACATATTGGAATAAATAAAGCAAAATTCCCACCTTTATGAATCGTCATTACCTCTCTCATTTTGTCTTTCAAATCAAATCTTGTTTGGTCATTCAAGGCCCAAATTACATCTTGCCTTTGCCATAAACACTTCCCTAAGCACACTGTCCCCACTGACAGCTCCTTTCGCTGGAAACTGCCTGTGATATTCGGCTGACATTTATCTTACTAGGCATTTTTAGTTATTGCACTGTGCATTGGCTTATGGTATTTCACCATAAGGACTGCAAAATTATTTGAGGAGAAGGGATTGACCGTCTTGATTTTTCCTTCACAGTCATGTCCCCACTTTGTACATATTAAATGCTTAGCAATACTTTCTGATGGTCTCCTCCTATCCCCCATTCCCTGTTTTGCTTGTGGTCTCCCCTTGAAAGGGGAGTTATAGGTATGTCAAGGGTCCTGACTTTACCACCCGCTACATCGATCTCTTGAGCAAACATTGCTGTGTCTTTGAGCAAAGATCCTTCAGGATTCCTCAGTCAAATTGAGGTAGATGGGCTTTAGGTCTGATCCGCAAGATATCTTTCCTTAATTAATTCAAGTACCTGATACTATGTGCCAGATACTGTGCTCTTGCAACCAGCCAGACAGGTGATCTGGTCTCTACTTCCACTTAGCTACTGATGAAAAATAAATAAGTCATTTCAAATGGTAACAAATATTATAATGACACTATAACAAGGTACAGTGATAGAGAATAACAGGCAGTGGCAGTAGAAGAAGACAGTATTAATAAGAATGGTCATAGAATCGCTTTCTGAGAAAATGACTTTCAGATTAGCTGCAGGCCCAAGCATTAACCATGAGAAAATGACAGTATTTTAGGAAGGAGGGAGAGCAAGGGAAGAGAGCCTTAGATGCTAATACGTTCTAGCAACAGAAAGAAGACCATTTACCCAGAATATAATGAGGGAAGGGGAAACAGTAGATGAAGTGCCTTGTCTGAGCCCTGGAGCGGACAGCAATTCTTTAGCATATCGGAGAGTTGACTTTTATGGTGAACCCAGGGGAAAAAGTTCTATTTTATACTTGGAAAATTCCCTAGGGAAGGAATGAAAAGAACTATTAGTGCTCTAACTCCTTGCTTTGTTGTGTTAACATAACAATACTAATTCAATTGGAGCCTAATCTTTAGTTTGTGTCTAATGGGTGGTGCTCCTGTTGTTGGCCTCTGACTTGCCTTCTTGTTTAAATTAACAATCTTGGAAAGGCAACAGTTGCAAAAGCAACCACAGTAGGATATGTAACAATTAAAAGAACACCTGTGAGTTTTAACAATTTGTGGAGCAGGATTGCATGACCTTGCCCAATCAGATGACAATCTATCCATTTAAGACCAGAGATTACAAAACCCGTAATTACTCCTATATGGAAGTGGTTTCTAATCTGCTATTGGTTAAAGACTCCTTTGAGAATCTAACAGAAGTCATGAACACTTTCCCCAGGAAAATGCGAGAAAAAAAAAATCACATTGACACAAAATATTGATAAAAATGTAAAGGCTTTGTGGAACTTTAAAGCTAGTCTATGCAGCCCAGAACATCTGATCAAGGGCATGGCTTTCAAAAATTTCTGTAAACCAGAATTACCTGAAAAGCTTGTTGAAAGACATATCCATGGCTATGTCCCCAGAAAGGTGCAAAATGGGATGCATTTTAAAAAATAAATTCCTCAAGGGATTCTGAAACAGGTGGATAGACCACACCTAGTCAAACTCTGCTTAAGGATCTATAAAGGAGAAAATTAGAGAGCAGAGGCTCAGAGTGGTGGAGATTGAAAGCACCTGGGAGTTCAGAAGACTGAATTTCACCCTGGAGCACTGAAATTGGGAAGATTAATATGGGGAGGATAAAGCATATGGTGAGGTAGTAGTGTTAAATCAGAACTATGTAGGCAGAAAAAAATATGTATTGGGAATTAGACACAGGCTTGGAAGCAGTCTGAGAACACTGGGAAGACTCTGGGACTGGTGATCTATCCTAAGGCAATCCCTCATGATGAAAACCAACACTCATGCTGAGAGGTTCTCTAGATTGCCTCTAAAGAGATTGTCTACTGTCTTGAGCTGCTCAAGCTGGAAAATATAGGCAGGACTCATCACACCCATCGTGAATGAACGTATCATTACCTCTTACCTGCATCACATAATCACAGGTGCTGCGTGGGGTGGGCCATCTATTATTTTAACTTTACAGTTAAAATGTGAGCAAATAGAGGCCTTCAGAGTGGGAGGGCCTCGTTCAAGACCACCTAGTAAAACAGTACCTGAGTTAGGATCGGAGCTTGGCTTTTTGTTCTTTAGTGCTTTTCCTCTTTCCTATTTAGTCTTGAGATTAAAAAAAAAAAAAAAAATCTGATGGAACCACTTGATGAGGATGTGCTTATCCCCAGAAAGTTCAGGGCAATTAATTCAGATGCAAAATATATCTTCAGTAGGGCAACATTTTTCAATGAAAAATAACACATTTGCTTGTGCCACAAATTTCGTTTCTCACATATTTTAATGCCATGTGGTCATTGTGTGGTCATCACCAACATTGAACTTGACAGAAAACAAGGTTTGTCTCAGTGCTTACCCGCTCCTGGACATGGAGCGGAGGATGAACTCGACTGCATTCTCAATGATCTCTGTACCCAGGAGATTTAGGAATTTGGGGAAGTCTGGCTTTGGGTCCTTGCCTGACTCGTCTGGCTTGTCGTCTGGCTTGTCTGGTTTGTCATCTGAAAAACAGAACAGAATCTCAGAGGTGATTCTCAGCAACAAAGAAGGAAGTCTCCTTTCCGTGTGGGGAACACTTAGGATTTTTTGTGGCCCACTTACGAATTTCATAGCCTTATATGAGTATATTCCTCAAACATTTCATGCTTGTCTGGTTAAAATCTTCACATACATTATCTCATTTATTTCTAAAAACAAACAAATAGATCAACAGGTAGACACTGGCACTGCCTCGTGAGTGAAAAAAACAAAGCTCCCAGAGGCTAAGTACCTAACCCAGAGTTAAGCAGCTAGTAAGTGCCAGTGCCAGGACTGACATACAGAATGTCTGTTTTTCCATCTGATCTCCATGCCCATGGTAATAATAATATTAAATAGAAATTATCAGCTGGGTGGGGTGGCTCATGCCTGTAATCCCAGCACTTTGGGAAGTTGAGATGGGAGGATTGCTTGAGGCCAGGAGTTTGAGAGCAGCCTGGATAACATAATGAGTCTTCCATCTCTACAAAAAGTAAAAAGTAGCCAGGTGGGGTGCTGCAGACCTGTAAGCCCAGCTACTTGGGAGGTGAAGGCAGGAGGATCACTTAAGCCCAGAAGACAGAAGCTGCAGTGAGCCATGATCGTTTAACTGCACTCCAAGGGCCTGGGTGACAGAGTGAGACCCTGTCTCTAAGAAATACAATAAATAAATAAAAATGAAATATCAATAAGTAGCATTTGCTGAGTACATGCCTGTGACAATCTACATGAATTGTCTCTTTATCCTCATAGGAACTCTGCAAGGTAGGAACAATTATCCTAATTTAAAGGTAAAGAAATATAACTTGAGAGATGTTTAGAAACTAGTTCAAAGTCACAGAGTTAGTAAGTGGCAGAAATGCAGTTCAAACCATGTCAGTTTGGCATTAAAATGTGGATTCTAAAGTACTCTATGATGAGCTGCACAGTCTTTGAAGGAAAAGTTATACAGTTTGCACCTTTTTTAAAGAAGGTTCAAAATAATATAACAATAATGATGACAAAGAAATTCAGAAAAGTGATGCAGTTTGCGCTTCTTTTAGAAGATTCAAAATAGTATAACAATAATGATGATGAAGAAATTCTATCACTTTCATATCACCTAATAGTTTTGGAAATAGCAATTTTACAAATGTTGTGTAATTTTACCCCCAGACCTATCTTATAGAGTATGCGTTTTTTAGCTCACTGGACTGAGAAAGTGAAGATTAAGTCGCTTACAGAAGACCTCACAAAGAATAAGAAAAATGCTGGGACGATCACTGCAGGCTCCTTACACTAGACGCTTAAGCGCCCTTTGGAATGAGGGCCAAGAATCCAGAGTAAAGTTGATTACATTCAAGATCCCTTGCGAGCTTTTTGACTTTGCTTAGTTGTCTTTATTTTCAGGAGATGAGAAGAGATGGAAGAGTGACAGCAGCTACATGTGGTCTCCCCTCTGAGCCCTGGTCACAGGATAAAGTGGGACCTTTATTTTTTAATTTTATTGTACCCTGACAAGTAGTGTTATCAGACTGGGTAAATAAAAATACAGCATGCCTAGTTAAATTTAAATTTCAGATAAACAACAAATGCTTTTCTGGTACTATAAGAATAATCCAAATGCCCATTGATGATTGACTGGACAGGGAAAATGTGGCACATATACACCATGGAATATTATGCAGCCATAAAAAACAATGAGCTTTTGTCATTTGTAGGGACATGGATGAACCTGGAAACCATCATTCTCAGCAAACTGACACAAGAGCAGAAAATCAAACACCACATGTTCTCACTCATAGGCGGGTGTTGAACAATGAGAACACATGGACACAGGGAGGGGAGCATCGCACACTGGGGTCAGTTGGGGGGAAATAGGGGAGGGTCAGTGGGGGGTGGGGAATTGGGGAGAGATAACATGGGGAGAGATGCCAGATGTAGGTGATGGGGAGGAAGGCAGCAAATCACACTGCCACGTGTGTACCTATGCAACAATCTTGCATGTTCTTCACATGTACCCCAAAACCTAAAATGCAATAAAATAAATTTAAAAAAAAGAATAATCCATGCAATAATTAGGGCACACTGATGCTAAAAGATTATTCACTGTTTATCAGAAGTCCAAATCTAACTGGGTTTCTTGTATTTTATCTGGTAACCTCGCCACAAGTTTTAACTCAAGAAATCCCAACTTCTAGACAATGTACCCCTGACTTTGGATTAAAAAATGTAACTACCTTTCGTTTGGAGGCTATCAAATTACGTCAGAAACTTTACATCTATATTAAATCCTAAAACGGAAACTATTAGTAAAAAGATTGATAGGCAACTCTATGAGTATTTATTGTTTACTATGACATAACCGAAGATTTGATAGAATCACCATTTGGGACTTGTAACTAAAATCAACATACTAATCATCATGTATTTATATATCCAATTGTTGGTTCCTTCATTCAGAAAGTATTTTTGAGCCTACTTTTTTAATTTTTTATTTTTGAGACAGGGCTTCACTCTCTCACCCAGGCTGGAGGGTAGCAACGTGACTACAGCTCACTGCAACTTCAACCTCCTGGGCTCAAGAGATCCTCCCACCTCAGCCTCCTGAGTAGCAGGGACTACAGGCACATGCCATCACAGCTGGCTGATTCTTGTATTTTGCATAGAGATGTTGCCCAGGCTGGTCTCAAACTCCTGGGCTTGAACGATCTGCCCATGTCGGCCTCCCAAAGTGCTGGGATTGCAGTTGTGAGCCATCATGCCCAGCCCAAGCCTACTCTTATGTTCATAGTTATGCTAAGAGTCAAGGTAAAAAAGGACAATAAATATGAGCTTCACATAAAGTGCTGGGCAACCCAGGTACTCAGAAGGATTGGTTTGTTTTTATCATGGGAAGGAGATGGAAGCAGAAGTCTTGTGTAGGGTGCCTATTGAGCAGATAATGCACCAGTGCTTTTAGCACATGCCTTAATCTTCATTCAGCTCAGTAGTGGTATCACAGTTTTATAGGAGAGAAGTCAGATGATCAGGAAAATTAAATGACTTACCTGAAATCACTCATCTAGAAAGTAGCTGATCCACGGTTTGAACCTAATGTTTTTCTTAACTCCACTAAGCATATTATTCACATTACATAATACAGCCTCCAATCAATTGTTTTATAAAGACATTTCCCAAGCGCAAAGCAGTAATTTCTTGCGTGAAAGATGAGATTTTTTGCCCTGTGTTTCTATCTAGCTACTTGCAAAATAAATTCTATTGACTTGTTGTTTTAATATGACACTAAATGCTAGCTTTTCAAGATGCAAGAAGCCTGGGATTGGAGTGGGTGGAAATCAGAATCTCAGCTTTAGCCTGTGAACACCATATATATTGAGGGGTATTAAAGTGTGGTGGATTACATGCTCTGGAGTTTTATACACCTGTCTGATTCCTGCCTTTAATAAAAAATTAGCCATGTAACCTTGCACACAGTCCTTAACTCTGCTATCTCTCAGTTTTCTCATATATTGTCAGGATTGAAAGGCATATTATATATTATATATACACACACACACATATATCATATATACACACAGATATATATACCATCTATAACAGTACCAAACCCAAGGTAAACTTACCTTATATAAATAAATAAATAAATAATGAATGAATGAATAAATATTCTGTTTTATTGTTACTATTAATATTGAGCAACCAAATTGTTTATAATTCACTTTCTCCTCTAGTGCTTTAGAAGATAATATAAATTTTTAAAACGCTATGAAAATATCAAGAAATTTATATCCTAGCAACAAATTTTCAAAGGCAACAGTTTGATTTTTTTTCAAGTATCATATGGGATAGCCTTTATTTACAGTAACTACCTTGTTGAGTTTCTTAGGTGAATGTGAATATAATGTTCTTAACAAACAGTATTGCTAATATTTGTAGTTTTTATAGTTTAAAAAGTAATTATGAAAGTGAATTCATTTGGCCTGGTGAAGTTGATAGTTATCCCATTTTACAGATAAAGAAACTGAGGTTTAAAGCAGTGAATTGATGTAACCAGTTTCAGAGTTTTTGAGAGACAGTGCGGCAACTGGTCTTTGGTATCAAATCTCACCTTTCACTTCACTGTGGTGACTGCTTTAGGAGTAGAATGGATTTAATAATCTCTGTGGCCATATCTAGAGTACTTCTGCTACAATGTCTGCTGTGTGTTGTTCAGCGAAGTTACAGTCATAGGATTCTGTTACTAATGTTTGCACTCTCTCTGTCTTCTGGCCTATCATTCTGAATGGCACTCACAGTCTTTTGCAGACAAAAATAAATTAATTAATGAGAAGGCAGCATACAGCCTGAGCTTCTGTGTGCTTGGAGAAGGTGGGAAATAAGCCGTTGCTCAATAATAGTAGAAAGAATCTAGGAACTTAGGTTTCAGTCCCAGGTGCCACCTCCACCTGTCTGTGTGCTCAAGTAATTTGCCCTCTGCAAGCTGAGTTTATTAACCTGTAGAAAGGAAAATGATAAAACTGTGCATGTTTACATGGCTGGATTACTATGAGAACCAAATGAGATTATACATGACAACAATAATAGGTAATATTTATTGTGTGCTTATTATCAACCAGTTACTCTTCTAATTTGTTTCATTCCTTTTATTCCGTTTTCATGATAGCTTTATGAGAAAGTTAAATGTCCCCATTTGTATGTGAGGCCTAGAGACATTGAATAGCATTCCTAAAGTCACATTTCTGGTTAGTGGTAGAGCCAGGCATAGGAGTTTTATTCCAGAGTACATATTCTTCATCATTGAATATTATTGGGAATGTTTATCAAAAAATAAATGCCACTCAGCTCCTATGGAATTTATACCAGAATAGTGTCATTATATCATAAGAGTATATAAAAAATTTCAACCTTCATTCATCCACTGAAAATAGATTCTAGGTTTTTACTAAAATCCTATTTTCTTTGTGTTAGAATGTACAACTCTTGTCTCCCAGGCCAGTGCTCTTTCTGCAGTGCCCAAAGGCCCCTTCTTCCTTTTATGTTCTGAATCAGTGCCACTAACTTTCTCCAGTCACTGCCAACCACTGAACATTTCATGGGCTGTGATCAGAAGCACTTACCTGCATAGCAGGTCAGGATTAAGACAAACAGTCCCAGGACAACTGTCAGCCGAAGTACTGAGACAGCCATTCTGGTAGCACTGGGTACTGGTGCACATAAATTGTTCAGATACATCTGAAACAGTGCCCCATTTATAGGGCCTATATAGGTGACATCATCTGCTTTGGAATTTAGATGTTGCACAAGATGTCTGCGTAGCTTGCTTTTGGATCTGTACTAATGAGCCCTGCCCTATCATTCAAACCAAAAGTTTTTCATATAGGGAAAGAAATCTCTCTTGATTTTTAAAATTTGTATCTATAAAGGGTTCTGGAGTGAATCTCTTAAGGCTCATTTCAATGCCAGCATTGATAATCAGAGGGATATCTGGTAGAAATGCTCATCAGTGCCAAGCAGCAGGCAACAAATCAGATTGGCAAGGCATGCTGACTCCCTCCCTGTACACTCTGTGCCTTCCCACATGCTCTGAGACAATCCTTTGTTCCCACATGGGCATGCCCTTTCACACCACATGCCTCTGCTCTTGCTCTTCCTTCTTCCTCAGATACCCTCCCTCTTGTCTCCCTTTGGATTAATCCTATGTATTCCTCAGTTCAAATGCTCCTTTGCTATTGTAAACAGTGCTGCAATGAACATATGTATGCATGCGTCTTTATAATAGAATGATTTATAATCCTTTGGGTATATACCCACTAATCCCAAATGCCCATCAATGATAGACTGAATAAAGAAAATGTGTCACATATACACCATGGAATACTATGCACCCATAAAAAGTATGAGTTCATGTCCTTTGTAGGGACATGGATGAATCTGGAAACCATCATTTTCAGCAAACTGACACAAGAACAAAAAACCAAACACCACATGTTCTCACTCATAGGTGGGTGTTGAACGATGAGAACACACACACATAGGGAGGGGAACATCACACACTGGGGTATGTTGGGGGATGGGGGACTAAGGGAGGGACAGAGGGGTGTTGGGAAGTTGGGGAGAGATAACACTGGGAGAAATGCCTGATATAGGTGATAGGGGGATGGAGGCAGCAAACTATCATGGCATGTGTGTACCTATGCAACAATCCTGCAAGATCTGCACATGTACCACAGAACTTAAAGTACAATAAAAAAAAATGCCGCTTCTCTGTGAAACATTCATGATAACCTCTCCACCCTTCTCCAGATAGAGCCGGTTGCTTCATTATCTGTTCTATAGCATGCTTGATCCCATTGTATAAGAACTAAGTGTTGGCCTGGCACAGTGGCCCACGCCTGTAATCCCAGCACTTTGGGAGGCCAAGGCGGGTGAATCACAAGATCAGGAGTTCAAGACCAGCCTATCCAACATGGCGAAACCCTGTCTGTACTAAACGTACAAAAAATTAGCTGGGCGTAGTGGTGGGTTCCTGTAATCCCAGTACTGAGGAGGCTGAATCAGGAGAACAGCTTGAATACAGAAGGCGGAGGTTGTAGTAAGCCGAGATCGGAGCACTGCATTCCAGCCTGGGCGACAGAGTGAGACTCTGTCTCAAAAACAACAATAAAAACTGTTTTATTTTATTTATTTTACTTTTATTTTTCTCTCTTTTTTTCATTAACTTTTATTTGAAGTTCCAGCCTACACATGTAGCCAGAAGGATGTGCAGGTTTGTTATATAGGTAAATGTGTGCCATGATTTGCTGCACAGATCAACTAGTCACTTGGCTTTTTATTTTATTTTTTGTGATGGAGTCTCACTCTGTCACCAGGCTGGAGTGCAGGAGTGCAGTGGTGTGATCTCGACTCACTGCAACCTCCGACTCCCTGGTTCAAGTGATTCTCTTGCCTCAGCCTCCCAAGGAGCTGGGATTATAGGCACGTACCATCACACCTGGCTAATTTTTGTATTTTTATTACAGACTAGGTTTCACTATATTGGCCAGGATGGTCTCGATCTCCTTACCTCATGATCAGCCTGCCTCTGCCTCCCAATGTGCTGGGATCACAGGAGTGAGCCCCCGTGCCTGGCAATCACCTAGGTATTAAGCCCAGCATCCATTAGCTATTCTTCCTAATGCTCTCCTTCACCTGCCCCCTGACAGGCCCCAGTGTGCATTGCTCCCCCAAATGTGTTCATGCGTTCTCATAGGAGAACTGTTTTAATAGCTCTCTTCTTTTCAGCTTTTGTGTCTATTTATTTGTTTATTGGCAAAATATTGTACATAGTCATGGTGCACAATATAATGTTTTGAAATATGCATACATTGTGGAAAGCCTATATGAAGCTATTTAATGCACAGTTTACTCGTACTTATCTTTTTTGTGTGTGTGGTGACAACACTTAAAATCTGCTCTCAGCAATTTTCAAGTATACAATAGAATGTTATTAACCATAGCCAACATGATGTACAATAGATGTCTCAAACTTATTCCTCCTGTTTAACTCAAATTTTATATCTTTTGACCAACATCTCCCCGATCCCTCCCACTACCCAACTCCCAGCCTCTGGTAACCATCATTCTACTCTCTGCCTCTGAGTTCATCCTGATTAGAGTCCACATGTAAATGAGATCATGTGATATGTAGGTGTCTTTCTTTGTCTTTCAGTGCCTGGTTTATTTCATATAACATAATGTCCTCCAGATTCAACTGTGTTGCAAATGATAGGATTTCCTTCTTTTCTTAAGGCTGTATAGTAAATAGTATTCCAGTGTACACATACCACAGTTTCTTTTTCTATTCATCTTTTGATGGACACTTAGGCTGATTCCTAGCCTGTGGGTCTCAGGAGAAGAACGTTTTATTACTTCTGAATCCTCATGGAGCCTACTCTGGTGCTTGGCCTTGGTCTCACCTTTGACTTCACCTCCTCTGAAGGTTTGTTCTGGTTCTTGCAGACAGAGATAGGTGATCCTCTGATGTACCTGATGGATCCCTGTTTAAATGTCTTTACCAATAGGCTGTAGGCTTCTTGAAGGCAAAACTACCTATTTTAAAGTTTAATACACATTACCAGAGGCACATGGCAAATATTCCCCCTAAAAAAATGAAAAAAAGTACTTTTGGAGTTGATTTAGACCAATCAGTCTCCCCCACTGCCAGTCTCCACTGATGTGTTCTCTATACCTATACCCATCACCATGGTTCCCCTTGAACAAAGTCTACCTTACCATCTTTTATTTTCTTAAAGAAGAAATAATTAACTGGATTAAATGTATTTGCACTTGGTGAAACAGAATATTGAATTTGACATGCTGCTATGCATCTCAGGTGTAAAATAATCTTCCTTTTCAATATGGGCAAGAGAATAAAGTTTGGTCCAAGTCTAGATGATAGTGGTTATCCAGAAGAATGCTATAAATTCAGTTAATTGGGATGTGGACTTGGGGATACCTAAACTTATTGATTAACCAATACTTATACTTTGCATGTATCAAAGACCATTATAAAAATGGGAAAATTAACTGAAGTATGGACAAAAGGAGGTTCATCCAGCATCTCAGAGCCAAGGCTAAGGCAATGCCTCTTACTTACTAGTTAATACTCTTCATAAGGCATCGAACCACTTCTGGAAAGTAATCAGGAAGCTCTGCTTGCACCTTGTGTGGTATGACCTTCCCAGGCCTCCCCATCTCATCTCAAGAAGACACTGGCCTTGTCTCTCTTGTACAAAGGGTTGTGAATCTATACTCTAGATCAGGAGAGACAGGGCCAGAGTCTCTAATGAAATGTAGACATTAGAAGGCCTTCAGTGAGGTAGATTTATGCCATCAGGGTCACTACGGATGACTGAGCACTGTAATTGTCCAAGGGGCTAGTGGGGGAATGACACTCAAGTGTCCTCTATCAGTTAGGCCATGGATCCTGACACATTGCTGTGTTTGCCTGGGAAAGGGTGCATATTTTTCGAATTAATCACAAGGGCACTCTATAGGCAAGTGAAGGCCGTAGATATGGCAACTCAAGATGGAAATTTCCTGGCTTCTTAGGAATAGCAGCTGGTGAGGGCAAGCAGACAAATCCTAAATCAGCTGCTTTTGGTGGTCTGGTGTCAAAAGATTAGCACTGCCCTGAGTGTCAGGATAGCCAGCCTTGATTCCTGTCAGTAACACTAGCTCATTGCATGGCCCTGATTCAATCCCCTCCATTTTCCCTGCTTGTTGCTCTTATTCTTTCTCTTCTCTTGGTTTGTCCCTCATAGCTTCAGGTCTCAGCTAAAATGTCTTGTCCTTGGTGAAAACTTCTGTGACCCTCTAATCCAACTCAAATCCCTATGTGATTAACTTTTCTACACTCTGTATTCTTTCTTCTGAGCACTTAAATTTTGATAATTTAATGTCTCTTTTTTCAAGGAATGTTAAAATCCCAAAGGAAAGCATTCTGATCATTCTTGTTCAGGGATATGGCTTTGGTGTCTAGGATAGCGCCTTGTGTGTAAAAGATACCCAACAGATATACATTGAATAAAGGAGCTAATAAATAATTCTGAGAAGAGAAACCAGGTTCTTTTGGTTATTATCTGCGTGACTCTGGTAAATGACTGATATCCTCTGAGTCTTAGTTTCTCCATCTGTAAAAGGGACATAATATAAATACCTGCCTATATATCAGCACCATTGCAAGGATATAGGAGATAAAAATAAAACACCTGATAACTGTAAAGAACCTTTAATATTGGCCATATTAATAATAGTTTAAAAGCTGTGATTTAGCTTTCACTGCCGTAAGCAAGTGAATTTACTTTAGGTAGAGGAGAAACAGATTATGAAAGAGGATTTTATCCAATCTGGGAAGAAGGAGATGAAAAGCTTCTTCTACAACATGATTCTAGCTTGGTAAGAAGGTATAGGAATAAAGGAAGTAAGAAATGTTTTAATTCTTTTTTTTTTTTTTTTTTTTTTTTTNTTTTATTTTTTAATACAAATTAATACAATTTATTCTGGACAGTCTCACAGGATATGTATAAATTTTATGCATAATTTTATAGACAATAAAATTGTTCAAACTATTTAGAACTCCACTTAAAAGACCACTGACCCAAGAAAGAGAGTAAAACAGGGAAGGCATTTGAAAGGGAAGAAAGCATCCATTAATATTCATCTTGTATGTAAATTGGGCACGGTTTTCATAAT